ATATTAAAATGACGTGTACTTAAAAAGGAGTTGCATAAATTCAATATTTTTTTCTCCTTTCTGTGGAGTCTTTATACAGAGATTTCATAAACATTTCTTGTACTCAATTTGAAAAAAAATACCCATCGGATAATATAATATACAATTAGCTAGAAAAAGTATTCGAAATTAAAAAAAAAAGAGAATATCTGACAAAATTTTAACGAACTTTTATTAAATTTACAAATTATTGTTTTCTTAAGCCTAAACGAACGAAGTATCTTTTAGTACAAGATGTCTTACCGTGCTTACGCAATTGCTCACAACACTTTATCAAATCAAATCACATAAGAATCAAAATAGTAACAAGTAGCAAAATACATAAGAAAATCGTTAACAAATGGCTCACGTCACCGATGATATCCGAGCGGGCGCCGACAAGCAAATGTCTCTCTCGCTCTGGACCTGTTCTGCTTTTATAACGTGGTGAAGGACGGTGCACAGCCGAGAGGGGTGTACAGCTTACAATACTATATAATATACTAAAAAAAGTACAAAAATTGGCTAGTGCAGCGTTTTGCTCGGGGACGCGCCTTAGTGCGGTAATACACGTCCGATTTCTTGTCTGATGGTCGGATCCGACTATCGGATCGGATTCACTCAATACACGTCAGACGGGCGTCCGATTCTTTCGTTAGACTTTCCTGAAGTAACTGTAGTGTGACGGTGTGACCTCCTTACACCGTTATCTCACCTCTTTGTATCGCCTCTCTCCTCTTGTATCTTATCATTTTTTTTTATTTTACTTGTATTTAAATTTTAAATTTGAATTGTTCCATCTTCCTTCACTTTCTCATTTTGTTTTCGTACCACGGTCACTCCCAACTCGACCGCTACAACAGTCAGAGCTGTTAATAAGCTAATCATGTGTAATAATTTATAAGTCTACACTCTTCATGTATCTATTTCTGTAATTCAGTTTCTCGGCCCATTTAGGGGTAAGTGCCTTAATAATAAAGTGTAGGGAGTGTTTTATACTGTTATACCTGTTTTTTTACATTTACCTTTATATTGTTACAGCCTTTCTTTAAACTTTACTTCTTTAATAAATTTTGTGGACCAGAAGTTTCCCATTTTATTGCCGTGATCCTGTTCACGGCTAGTTAGGGTTACAACCCTTTCAGTAGTGTTGCCAATTTATGGGGAATTTCCCAAATACAGGGAATTTCAACTCAACTCGTTAGGGGATTTTGTTTGGATTACGCTTAGGGGGGAAAAATTCCCTCGCATTCTAGAATTTTATCATATTTTTGTTACATTGATGATCACTGATAAAAACACTATTTGTTTGTTTATGAACGATATTGATAATTTTTCAACATCGCACATGCGCTGCGTATACAGGCTGTATATTTGAAAGTGAGACATATTCATACAGGTCATACTAAATCATGTTACAACTTAACATAGACTAAAATAAAATTATGGTATGGGATAGAACAAAAAATAAATAAACAAATGTGTTTTGAAGTGTACATAGGAAAAAACCGTTTCCCTTTACGCTTGATTTCGACTGCAATGGGAATACTACCAAGCGAGCGCCAGTGAGACAGCAACAATAACAATTATTTCACATTTACGTTTTAGCTTATGTTAATTATTTTTTACTTAAACTATCATCGAAATGTTTTACGTACTAAAAAAGATAAGATTATGATTTAGTAACTAGTTATCATTTAATAAGAATTGAGGTTTTTGGCGTAGTTAAAAACGTGAAATCAAATTATTTACAATTATTGATTTGTTAGTTATTTACGGTTGTAACAAACCTACTTTATGTAATAGACGGCCTTAAGCCAGATTGTTCACTTTTAGTTCTCTAAGAATCAGTAAGGCAACCAGGAGTTGAGTCCCTTCTTGGGAACTGCTACCCGGATCTTCTGACATTTTGTACGCTCACATAGTAAAGAATTAGAAAGTTAATTATTAAGAATTAGTAAAAAAATAGAAAGATTATTGCCCATCATATAGGGTGAATAAACCTCATCTCGCGGAATGGTTTCCAGGAGTTGCGTCCCTTCTGGGAACAACTGCCCGGACCTTCGGTATATAGGGTGAAATTGTATTGGCGACATGCAAGGTGAAAATAAAAATCTTCTGAACAATTTGGAGTTTCACTTGGCTTGTTTTGGTAACCTCATCCAACGGACGAAAGAACCTCCCTCCTTCACACGGTTTATTTATACTTACGTGGTACTGAACAAGTGTTCAAAATGTCCAGCGTTTCCCACAATGCATACAGTGTAGCACAGCATAGTAAATTTTGTTTTAAATTGTACAACACAAACACATTTTGTCTCACAGTATAAAATGCCGAGACAATCCTCTCACGCAACACTTCGGCACTATTCACCTCCTCCGCGTAAACTCCGATTTGTAACATTTCAATAGCTTGTACCACACTATCACCACTTATTGCGTAAAGTTGCACCATCTCAGTTAATTCGAAGTTAGAAAGAATATCCATTTTGCGGCGATCGAGCGAGCGGAAGTACAAATAATTTACGTGTTTTCGTTGGATCAAGGACGCGCGTGCACTGAGCCATTTCGCGTATGCGCCCGCGCCCCCACCCCCCGACCTGTGCTTTGTTTTTCGCCGCCATGCCGCCACCCGCCGCTGCGTCGGAGCAATAATAGTGATGTGCATAGATTTCGATAACTAATGTTGTTCTCAAGTAGTAGTCGATAAAATAAAAAAAATATTTTTTGTAAAGTTTAAGTTCATTAGTTTATTATTTCTTTGGGTTCAGAATCAGGAATATAACGCACTCTATAAGAATGTCCCACTTTCAAATATACAGCCTGTATAGCAACAAAAAAATTTATAAAATGTATATATAAATGTAACAAATAAATATATTTAAAATGTATATATTATGTATAAAATTATGCAGTAGGATTGGAATCACCTTGTCTTGAATTGTAAAATTACTACTATTATCAGTCACCGACAAGAGCCTGGCTCTTAAATAGGATGATGATGATGAGTCGGTTCGTGTTGAGCGCGCGACCCTTCCTCGTTTTGACCGGTCCCCGGTGTGAAAAATACAGTGTAGCTGTTGCCGAACAAAGCTGAGCAGTAGGTATTTTAAAGGACTATCCACACACATCAGGGCCATGCCCGAGACGTGGCCGGGGCGTGCTAGTTTGTATGTACTGCGGGCCCGTTCCGGCGCCGGCCCGGAGACGGACATGTGTGAACGAGTTCATACAAAATAAACGCAACGAAATATTTTTGGGCCCCTGACGGAGCACGGCTCGTCCACGTCCCGGGCACGGCCCGGATATGTATGTATGCCACTCGTCAAGCTTGAATATTAAGGTCTAAACTTAATTCAACTTGTTGAGTTTATTTCTAATTATAGCATAACGTATATGTAATAGATGGGCACATTAATTAATTATTATATTATTTAATATATTTTTAAGCGTAACAATAATAATATAATAAATACTGAGAATTAATGAATATTATTACATGTGGGAAATATGACCTTTGCTTCGATCGGTAATAAAATCGGACGCTATTTCCGACTCGGACGCTACGTCACGGCCGAACCGATAATCGGATCATACAATTATATGGCACGAGCGCCTTCTGGTAGTCGGATCAAACTATCGGATGGAAAAAACGGACGTGTATTGTCGCACTTAGTGCGGGAATATACGTCCGATTTTTTAATTTAATTTAAAGGAAAAATAATTATCAAGAATCAACATTTATAAGAAACTTACTAGTTTTGGTTTCGTTGGACTAATTATTATACAATAGACAGTGACTGGCGGCTATCCCCACCATACGAAAGTCGATACTTTCCTTAGTGGCCAATATAAATATTGCGCGCCGATTCGCTGTGGCCGCTATATTATTCCGCTTAGTGACTTGTGCCTGATCGGTCCTTAGAGGGAGCGATCCTAATTAGTTCAATCGGTCAACCGAACTAGGTCGGTCGTCTAGTACATCTAGTTCCTTAGTTAGTTCGTCTTGTTCTTGCTCGGACACTGAACAAACGCTACAAACTAGTAATTTTATTCACCTGAACTACTACGCACTTCTCGTATATATGAGGTCAATACTACACTGTATTAAATATTTAAAAATACAATTTGTATGGAATTGGTACTATTTGATTTTCTTTCATATTTTACATGTTTAAAGACTGTTATTCTAACTAAGTATCCCTTTTTTTTTTACAAAACAAGAATTTTAGTTACAACGGTGTATTTAAAATATTATATTACAATATTTAGGTACGGACAAGGGCACGTCAGACTACATTTTTTTGCTCGAAAATCGCCTCCATTGCAACGGCACAAGATACGTCAATGTGTAGCTTGATGTGCTGGCGTGTTACATACATACAACTATTTCATATACTCGTACACGTAGGTTGATATTATACATAACGATACCTACCATACCTACCAAAACATGAGCTCTTAGTTTTTTGCAAGCTTACATATATACATAATGTAGATACGTATTAGAGAAGACTTAGAACGAGCTGGCAACTCTGGCACTCGAACTTTTACTAAAAGCAGTGAAAAATCGCTATTTATCCCGCTCGCACCGTTCCTACTGAATAAAAGACAGGTGAACTATCAACGCAGACAGTTCCTAGTTCGTACTGTACGAAAAAGAACGATGAACTATTAAAACCGTACAAGACGAACTAGTTCATGTCGGTCAGTGTCGGGAATATATTCCTAATAGTTCGTAGTTCATGAACTATACAAGCCTACCACTTAGAAACTTTGTAGCGACTAGCGACGTCCACGCGATAACGCGTGATCGGTCGTTTGGAGAGAACTCGCATCTCGCGTTATCACGTTAACACGTTAATTGCCACTCACGCGAATAAAAATAAGTAATTTTGCAGGAATCCGAGGTGTCCGGGATGTCCGTTGTTTCTCATGGGTGTTAGAGGATAACTAGTATTTAGTTACTATGTTGTGCACAGAGTGTGGTGGAACGCGTGGAGTACCGTCCTCTGGGTCCAGCAACAACAGTGGCGAAGCGCTCGGCGTGGGTTGACTCACAGGTGTTTGGCTTCAGCCGTGCTATCCGCGCCTTCGGCGTCGATCGCTTCCGGAAGAACGCCACGCAAATGGTATTCCTACTATCTAGCAAAATGTGATAACATTTTTAAATAAATTTGGAGGAACTGGATGGAGCTTAATGAAACAGAACGAAGTCAGTGCTATTGTTATTACTTAGGATTTTTGCCTCGCCCGTTAACAGCGTGTTCGAGTAACAAATAATTGTGCAACCACTATAGAGTTTTGTCAATCTCTTCCGTCCAAATAGCGCTAGCGATAGTTTTCTAGCAGCCGCGTTGCAGGTGAACGGGTTCAACCTGGTGCTGGCGAGCATGTTCGGCGGCGCGGCGGCGCCCCTGGCCGTGAGCGGGGGCAACGCGGGCGGCGCGGCCGGCGCGGGCGGCGCGGGCAGCCCGCCCATGGCGCACACGCTGAAGGAGATGCGCTCGGCCGCGGCCGCCGCCGCCGCCGCCACGGACCGCGCCAAGGCCAACGTCCTCTCTTCCGTCAACCGCACGTAACCGCGCGGGGCCGCAGGCAGCTGCTCGTGGCCGCCCTCCGCACACAGCGACAGTGATATCAATAGTGAAGTGTGACTGGACAGTGCCCAAAGGTGTGATTGAATTCAGTGGATCTATCCGCTCCCGTAGGCCCCTGGGCGGATGGAAGCTGGACGAGAGTGAATTTTTCACAAGCAAAGCCCAACATTTGATGCCATAATTAATATTCTTAGAGTGATGAAGTGTGTTCTTTGAGCTAATATCATTTTCTACAATTTCTGTTATATTTATTGCAAGTTTATGCACTGCCATAGTATTTCGTATGTAATGCTACCGATACCTTATTCCACATTCCAACCTTGGGTTATGTTCCTCTATTTGGTTGTGACGTCGCCAGTATCCGGTCAGTGAGCGGCGTCACTCCGCTTATTCCAGGGCCGAGTTGTCTGTCGATTCGCTGGTGGGATGTGTTTCATAGCATTTGAATGCTTTGCTATACATGACTGATACTTTCAAATAGACTTATAGAAAAATTTGGAATTGGTGTATTTATGAATTTAAATGCATCCGATTTTGTCAGCATAATTTATTAATATTGTGACTTATGTTGTAAATTATAATCTAAATATAATTTAGATGGTATTTAAAGCAAATGTAGTAGAAATTTTAAATGTGTATTGGCCATAATATACATATAATGTAACTATAATAGGCGTTATTATAGTTATTAACCATCTATTTTTTAAAGGATAAATTATGTTCTAATGTAAATTCATAATCAGGAATATAAAAATCTTAGATTAAAAATATATTTCTTTGTGTGAAATTTATTAACTGTGACATTAAATCTTACTCTAGTCTGTACTTTTGAAAATTATATTTATGTATAATGCAATTTTGATTGTATTTTAGGGAGTTTATGAATTTTGGCTCTTGGTTAAAATAATGTCTTGTATAAAGAGCATCCTCTTGTAGTGGGATGAAACCATAACTGTAGGGTCAAAGTCCTAGTTATACATAGTGTAAATTAGTCTTAGAAATACCATATTCAAAAATAAGAGGATCAATAAAAGTCATAATTGTGCATTAATTGTTTTTTTTCTAAAACTAATCTTTATTTTCAATAGTGGGACTACTGCTTTCAAGGCACAAAGGAGCTGAAGAACAAAGGAAGGAAACGTGATGAAAATCAAACCAAATAACATTACACTAATATCTGTTTATTAGACTAAGCTACTACATGTACACAATTATTTGATCTTTATGGCTGCTCGTAATCTGGCACTCCGGCTCCTTGGATTCCGGTCCACTTCTTCCTCTGAAGGAATTTGAACATGTTTATTGAGAGGGTTCCATGGCGTATCCAGAAAATTATCTATTGTATCCTGATCCTGCACTAATGTGGGACTAAGATATTTTAATGGTACAGGATTTGCAACCTCATTTAAAATGTTGCCTGCTATATGACGCTTTACTATTCTATCTTCAAGAGAGTGGAAGCAAATTGTGACCAATCGGCTATTAATTTTTAAATAATACTTAGCTAAGACCATGCCATAGTTGATTTCATTGAGTTCATTATTTACAAAAATTCTTAGAGCTTGGAATACTTTTGTAGCATTTGACTGTGGCCTTTGTAGCTTATCTAATCGGATCTCATCAGGGCAACACGAGTTCACCACATCCACCAATTCTTGTGTAGTCTCTATATTCTTTATCATGTATCGGGCTTGTATGATAGTTTGAGCAATTTTTGCTGCTTTTTTCTCTTCTCCATAGATCTTAAATATTTTGTACAGTTCTTGTTCATTAGCCGTAGCTAAAACTTCTCTGGCTGTTATTTGATTTGGATCCCTTCCTGCATCCATGCGCATATCTAAGTAACCATTTTTGCTAATTGAAAAGCCTCTTGCTCCATTGTCCATTTGCATGGAGGAGCAGCCAAAATCAAACAAAATTCCATCAATTGAAGTTTGACTGATGTTTTTACTTTTCAAAAGCTGTGGCAGTTCACTAAATTTACCCAATAATGGTGTAACTCTGCCTGGATACTCTTTAGCTAATTTCTGTGCCTTGTCATACACTGTTGGGTCTCTGTCTAAGGTTATGAGTCGGCAGTTTGCAGTTTCAAGTATTTTCCTCGCATGTCCCCCGCCTCCAAATGTCATATCAATGTACAATTCATTGTCTTGGGGATTCAAATATTGTATAGCCTCATTGAGCATTACTGGGCTGTGATCTTTATATTCTATATGTTGCTTAGACATTTGTCGGGTGAACAAGGCCCGATTAAGACATCGAAATTGTTGTAGAAACATTATGAATCTTTCTTGAAAATTTTACTAAAGAAACCCTTATTTTCTTCTTTCAAATAAGTTAAAACCTCATTAGATAGGATGAGATTGCACTCTTCAACACTTAGCCCAGTCGCTGTGCTGGTAATGGTTCTCTTGTATTTGTTTTTATAGTGGTTATCGGCGAGTCTGTTTAGGGAATTATATTGTCGATTACAAAGCTCGGTGTCTAGATTTTGCTTAGCAGATGGGTCGAACGCTTCTTTGACTTTGTGTCTGATAAATTTACCAAGGTCTCTGTAATCAAGTAAAGAAATGAACCGATGAACAAATATATGACAATATTCTAAACTAAAAATATATGCACTAACCTGTCGCCTTTATTGGTGTCGAGAGGCCACTTTGCTATTAGTCTAGTGAATTTCTTGTACTGAGTAGTCATAGCCACAGAACACTACACTCACAAGGAGGTCATAGCTTTTTAATTCCTATAACATTTTCCAGTTTTTAGTGAATAGGTTGCTAATTTTAATTTCTTTTAGTGGCGTAATAGGCAGCTTCAATTGTTCCTTCGAGTACCTATGCTACCACAAACTATGCTACGCTGCTAGGACTGGTTTGAACTGTCACTTTGACTTTGACAACTTTCGTTCATTTTTTCCTTTTCCATCCTCTAAGTTCAAATCAGAGAACTAAAAATGCTTAGACTATGGAAACCTAAGAACATGTTATCTTGACATATATAACTCAGACGTTAAATGTATATAATGTATTTAGCATAGACGTTGAAAATGTAAACATTTTATTGTCTTTGTTTAACTACTGCGTGCTGTCGTAAGCCAAAAGCACTACATTGATTTATGCCAAATACGCATTGACTTTGTAAGTCAATGCAAATACGGTAATCGAAGGTACGTAACATCATCTTAAACATTGACTTACAAATAAATGGACGACGGGTCTAATACAAAAACCACGAAAAAAATGTCCCAAGTCAACCTATTCGAAATTTAAATTGTTATGTCATCGCAGTATTGCGCTGTCCGTAGAACAAATGAAGACTAAAGCGGAGTGTCGCGCTCTGTATACGATTTTAGCGCCTTACAAGTGCGGACACTTTTTAGCGCGGACCCGACGTCCATATAATTGTAAGTCAATGATCTTAAATGTCAATTGTCCTCATTTTGGCATTTTTGTAGTACTCTTTGATAACCGTTTCCGGTTCTCAAAGAGAAGTACAGATTCGCTCTGGACCTTTTGGAGGGAAAAGCGTCGTTTTTATTTTGACTTTCAATTATTTTGTGAATTCTAGTTTAAAGTGGAATAGGATAGTGCTATTGTGCCTTAATCGAAGATTAAAGCGCGAAATTATACGAATCTCGAACTAAAATACCCGTATCGGCCCGTTTTAAGGAATCCCGAGACAATCCAAGCACGCCGCCGCAAATTGCCTATCTTCTTTGTGGCGGCCATATTTACAGAAACATAATTAAACTTCATGTTTAGGCTGATGGCTTTGCCAACGCCTTAATAAATTTAAAAAAAAAGAGAAGTACATCAAATGTCAAAACCAATGTTTGGCCAAATGTTTTAGTGAATTATTCCCATGAATTGTCATTAAATGGACAAAAATATTGACAGTGAGAACAATTAAGTATTGATAAAAATGCGTAGCTGCAGCGTTATGGGGTGTGGCAGTAGAAAAAGCGGAAATCAAACGAATGTTATATTACACCGGCATGTGTTATTTTTCTGCTTGTAAATCATACAATAGCCCAAATATCTCATGTAATTAGACTCATTTAAGTAGTTTATTAGTAAGTCTTGCCGAATTTTGCTTTGGTTACTTTAGATAGCCTGTTAGTATATTTTGATGATTGTTGATAACGATTATTTTGAGATAGTGTTGTTCTTGTAAGCAGACATATTATCGATATTCTGTTATTAAAACAATTCATTACGAGGTTTTTACTATGTCATTATTATTATTTTTAAAGTTTACCTACAAATGAAAAAAGAAAGAAAGAATGATTGGAAAGTAAAGGACTGCCGAACATAAACATTGGATCAAATACCCTGTTCGTTTGTTCGCTCCATTTTGAAGAGTCAAATTTTAATAGAAGTTTGAATATTACTAGATCACATGAAAATGCAATTCCATCGTTACGTTTATTAGAAATAACTTTATATTTAATTCGGATTAAAATGGCTCATTACTACAAAAAAATACAAAAAAAAAAAAAATTACTTGCTTAATATTTATCATATTTTGATTACAATAAACTATACAAATTTGCAAACATGTAAAACAGTTTCAACATTCAAGCTGTACATTTGCATGTCGATATTGATTTATCTATGATAAGGGTATAACACTAAATCCGCCATATGTGTGGTACAATTTTGGTTTAGGTAGGTACGGTTATTCCGTAGAGAGACCAGCTCCTTTCCTTTATTTTTTTCCATCCTCTAAGCAAAAAAGTAACGTTCAAATATTTGTTGCTTTGCTAATATAACAATAGTGAATCCCCTTTGTTTGCTACAAAACGCGTGTATCTATTTTTGGACGAAATATTGATTACTCTCTCGTTAACATACAGCTAGGCAACTCAAAAAGCCAACTTATATGTCCTACCGTTAATCAATTACCTTTTCTAGTTTCCGACTCTGGCAAGAACCGAGTATCAAAGTCGCGTCGAGCAAAGCCTGGGATTCTTCTGATTCCAAATAATACGCGTACGATTCTAAATAGAATAATTTTTGTTCAAGTATTTGTTATTTACAAGTAGTCGTAATTTTAATATAGGTAGTAGAAAAATACAGGAATAAGATAGTTAAGTCCTTTATTTTACTTGTTTTAAAAAATGTTGATTACTTAAAATAAATTCAGACTTTAATTTTTAACCGACTTCAAATATTAAAATTATTGTCCTTCCAACAAAATGAGCTTATTATTATAACATCTTTTGTATTATAAGATCTTATCGATTAACTTAAATAATGAAAACGCACGTCAGTATATGAACTTGCGACTGCTTTAATTAATTTTACTAGATGTCTTCTTTGTCAAAATCTTATTAATGAGAAGAGGTTTACTTAATGACGGCCTCGTGTGAAATTTTTGTGATTTGTTTATTATTTCTCGGATTTCTAACTCTGATATTCTGGATCCTGATATGATTCTGATATATTTGGATAGCATCTTATATGGGATAAACTAGACCACATTCGTCCTCGAAAGCAACGAACTCATACGTATGGCCAACTCTAGGTTTTTGTAAAGACAGCGCACTGATAATTCTTTGCATATTTCCGTATTATTCGTACTACATATCTGGCGATGTATGTAATTATTTGCTCACTATATTTGGACATTCGAGGCAACGTGCTGCACAAATTATCGAAATTACAGATGCTACTGTAATTTCGATAAGTGATAATAGATACTACAAAACTGAAGAAAAAAAAACGAAACCTTACTAAACGTTATAAAAAAAGAGTTATAGAATATTTTTATAATATTGCTAAGGTCATAATAATTTTCATCCCTTTGTTTTCAAAATCGATAAGAATCCAGATCAGTGTTGCCTAACTACACATCGCTTAAATGTTAAATTTGGCCAAAACAATATACAAGCGGCCGTACCACGAAATTGAATGTATTATACAAAAGTGCGTTCATTCGATATTCATGGCGTATTAACAAAGAATCACAAATATATCGCACCAAGTAAAAGCCGCAATGTATTACAAATCATGAGGCATACACTGAATTACGTATTTGTTTTCTCGAAATTCATACAAACCCAAAATAATTGTTTTTATAACCTAATCTCCGGTTAAATAACCGACTTCCAAAGTCATTCATCCCCTAGTTTGCCACCCTTATGAATATATGATATGAGGTGAAATATTTTCTGGAAATTTAAATGGGACCACATCTGAGGTACCTTCTTTCCAACAAAAAATACTCATCAAAATTGGTTCACAAACGGCGGAGTTATCGCGTAACATACTTACAAAAAAAACATACAGATGAATTGAGAACCTCCTCCTTTTTTTGAAGTCGGTTAAAAATAAGTTATGCATCTTCTGATTACAAAATCACTTGCCCGTGGTAGGAAACGTCCCTGTTTACCCGTTTACCCACAGTTATGGTGCTTTTGCAGTTTATAATAGCACAATCATGCATTTTTCGCGTTTTCTACAGATGTTTATCTACGATAATGGTTGAGCGTGTTCTGAAGTGTAGCAGCGGTAACTAAGTAGGCTTGTATAGTTAATGAACTACGAACTATTAGGAATATATTCCCTATACTGACCGACATGCACTAGTTCGGCTTGCTCGGTTTTAATAGTTCATCGTTCTTTTTAATTCAGTGCGAACTAGGAACTGTCTGCGTTGATAGTTCACCTACCTTTTATACAGTAGGAACGGTGCGAGCGGGACAAATAGCGATATTTCACAACTTCGAGTGGGATGCACGATTGAACATTCTCAGCTCATTCTAAGTCTCTAAAACGTATCTACATTATGTATATATACTAGCTTGCAAAAAAGTAATATTTTTTGGTAGGTATCTGCATGTATAATATCAACCTACGTGTACGAGTATATGAAATAGTTGTACCTAAATATTGATTTTTGAACACACCATTCTAACTAAAAATTCTTATTTTGTAAAAAAAGGATATTTAGTCGGAACGAGAGTCTTTTAACCTGTAAAATATGAAGGAAAATCAAACAGTACCAATTCCATATAAATTGTATTTTGAAATATTTAGTACAGTGTAGTATTGACCTCATAATACTAGAAGTCCGTAGTAGTTCATGTGAATAAAATTACTAGTTTGAGCGTTCGTTCAATGTCCGAGCAAGGACAAGACGAACTAACTAACTAAGGAACTAGATGAACTAGAAGACCGACCTAGTTCAGTTGACCGATTGAACTAACTAGGATCGCTCCCGCTAAGGACCGATCAGGCACAAGTCTACAACTTAGTGAATTTCACTTACTTTGGGCACGTGAAGTACGTACATACACTTGCGGCGTCTATCTAGATATATGTCTGTGTGCTAGTCGTACTTGATGCGTGTAGCAGTTGACTGACCGGCAAAATTGCATTGGCGGTAATCATTCTATGGCTGTCCACCCGGTTGAGGTTTTCGATTGTAGGAACGGTAAAAACTAAACTGGTTGACATTCCACATGGAAACAAAATAACTGTGATTCCACATGGATTCCATAAAATATATTAGTTACAATACAGTAGGGAAGACTCGACTCTTAGCAGCTACACAAATCATGTCTCTAGAGTTCCCCCAATAAAATTATATCTACGTAATTCTTACAGATTTGCTTCATCGGCCATCAGCGGCCTGTGATATGTCCGATGGAGCAGACTTGTTCTTCTGGAGTGGCGATTACGTTAAGGAAAACGTAGCGCTGGGCGGCACAGGATCGGGAGAGTTGGCGTGCACAGGGGGAGGTTTATGTCGAGCACGGGATAGGGGATGCGTGTAAGCTGATGATGAATTGTTTCAAATTTGAATAGGTATTCACTGGGCAACTATGAGGAATGAGAACCTACCTACCGTAACATTTTCAGACATTTGGTAGAAGAACCTCGTGTATAATAATATGAATAACGCTTATAATTTGTTTGGCTCCTGGTAACTAGTCTAAAAAAGGATATACGTATCATCAAACTCAAACTCAAACTCAAAATAATCTTTATTTCATAGGTAAGCATTATTACACTTGAAATCGTCACAATGGTTAAACTCTACCGCTCAAATATGAAGTTACGATTCAATGACAGTACCTACACCTTGAAAGATTTTTGCCTCGAAATTGTTCCAATCCATCTCCTCAAATACATAAATGAAAAGTTACCTCGGAAGTGTCAGTTCTTATAATGCGAAAAAAATTAAAGCGGTACCTATAATAAAGTCTTTTGTTTAGGCACTGATATTTTTGTGGCTTCAGCCCTAAAAATATCAGTGCCTAAACAAAGAGGACCGGAGAGTTCGTAGTCCTTAGCTGCACTTCTGAGAAGAGGTTTCGTATACGAAAATCACATTTTTTTATCCACGACTTGCCTTCTTGCATTACAAAACCTTTTACTATACGACTCTTTGGCAAACATTTTAATACATTACTTAGTTTCTTCGATAAGTCAGATCAGACGTTTGTGTGCAGCAAGTGATGGAAATCAAGAGGCAGAAGGGGTTTCAGGAGGTGGTGTAGAGGGTGAGAGGTAACGCTGAACGTTACAAAGTGTGAGCCTTTTGTCTACGTTAAGGGACGATTTCGTTATTGCGACTAAAACAGAGTGGCGTACTATTTTAGTCGCAACTCGCTAGATTCCATTTGCTGTTTGTATTTTATTTTAATGTAGTAGTTTATTATGATTGTTATGAATATTTTTGAAAATAAACAAATAACGATTGTGAAAAAAAAAATTGCTTATTGCTACTTATTTATTTCCACGATATTGTAGTTTCTTTATTTCCACGTAATATATGTATTTATTAAATAGTATACTAATTAATAAATGTTTCAGTAATTTTAGGACATATCATTTAACACAAATAAAAAAATCTTATGATACTGTTTTGCGTAGCAGTTTCAGGCGTCCCAATCATTTCAAGATAGTAGAGCTACTACACATGACATAGCGATAGCGACTGTTCGATATCAGTCCGCCCAATTGTAGCTTTGTCTCAGGGAGGCGACAGGCCCGTGCTGAAGCGGTGGCGGCGGCGGCGGCGCGCGCAGTGGCCGCCATTTGTCTGCAGTCGGTCTCCGCGCGTCCTACTCGCGCCATGCACTACCCTCCACTTACATAATCTTAAACACTAAATAGTGCTTGTGACTAACAGTACATAATATCCAGTGATAAAACGACAGTGAACAGTGCTGTGTCACACCGAACGGATGTGTCGCTGATCACCGCATAGGTAACGTTTACCTCCAGTTTAATGTACATGCTTGCTTTGTGGGCTTTATTTATTACCTTTCACCTATTTTCGTTTAGTGTCAACATTTATTACAAATTTAGTTCTAAATTAAGCCTTTTAAGTGAAACAAAAGGTATACAAGATCCATGACCATCGATTTCATGAATTTATATTTCTTTTGCTGTTAGCGTATCGATCACCGAGTTCCCGCTACGAATATATTTCTCTTTGGCTATATTACTACCCGAAAGCTTTCGTAAGGCGCTTCACTTCACATCATTGCTGTGTTGAAAAGTTTTCGTGTAGCCTATATTTATTGCTATTATCTATATCTCATAAAGTAGTGCGCCTACTTTACATTAAAATCTTTCTTTGTTGTTATGAGTACTAAGTAACAAATTAAAGCTTGTTTCAAATAAAATGAGTAGGTAAAAATAGAGAACTTATGGGACTTTTATATATTTACTACTTATTTACTTAAGGAAGTACGTATTCGTAAATAAAGTTTAGCGTTATTGAGGCGAATGCCGACAGGTAATTATTTCGCTCGTTACAATCAGTTTATCACTACGCGTTGATTTAAAACATGGCTTCTACGCGAGTGCATGGATGTCGTTGTTGTTCACTTGTTATTTTGTTGCAGTAGTACCTACTTAATCCTTTTTGATTCAATGCGTTTGATAATAAATGTGGCTACGTTAGGTTGAAACTTATAAAGTTTTATATGGCAATTATGACAAAGACTTCACTGCATGTAGATAGGTAACTTTATAAGTAACTTTAATTTGTCTTAAAATATAAAAAAAAATAGTCCACATGAAGTGATTCACCGTCCACTTTGTGGGCACTATAAGACCTCAACGTTCGTGCCGTAGCTTGGCCTCTGTGGCCGGGGCCATAACGCGACATCGCTTCCGCCAACAAGTAATTGGTCTTTTTACGACGACCATTGCGCGCCACGCCGCGTGTCAACTTGATTGTTGTAACAGGAAAGCTTTTCAAACCCATGTATGATTATGGTTACGTAACGTATGTACATGTATATTTGTCACAGGCAGTAATCCTATTAACTTTTTCTATTAAGTTTTCTTTTCATTTCCATCTAGCGCGCGATATTCCAATTAGGGGTTTGACGTTTTCCGTTTCTTTGTATTCTAATATGTATCCAGTTTTACTAAAAATTGATTATAAAAACTTCACAGGCGTGTTGACTTTTAAGAACTTATGAACTCTTTAATTTATGGCGGTATAAAATCCCTTTGTGGAACATATGAAGACGTAATTATATACGCTTCTATACTGTTACTTCTTAAATTGAAGGCGACGGTAGATAAGTCAGTGCGCCGGCGCTGGCTCTAGGGACCAATCCACGATCCGCGCTTCGGTACTTCCACCGCTTGTTCTTATCCGCATTACAGCACATCGGAAGATTTCGTGTTCGTGTGATGTTAACAGGTAGTACCGTTCATTAAGACCTTAGGGTAAATAAAAAAACCTATTATTAGGCACGCTGCACACGCAGGGCTATGTTAGATTTTGCGGGAACGCTTGCCTCCTACGAATCATGTGCATTAAGTAAATCGACTCAACCGTAGAACAGAGGTCTGTGTGTAAGACTACTTGTTCTCAGGACATAGTACATTTTGTTCGTTCTTCTTCGCTGTGGATGTCAGATCGACCTTTGTTCGATTTTATATTTCCGAAACGAAATAAGATATATAAATTCTCAAAACACCTTTACGTAGGCCTTAGTTTGAATAACGGAATTGTTCTCGTAACGTACTTATTCTCTTTTCGCTATTTAATCACATCGGACTCTGTTCTTCGGATGAGTCGAAATATTTACTTGATTTGATTAAAAACACTAGTGATAAAACCTGCACTATCGGGGGTGCTTTATAAAACTCTTCAAAGACATGGTGATGTCCTTAACCACTATTGGGCCGCCGTGATGAACTACGACCTAAAACCTATTTTCAGAGAAGGTCCAACAGTGTAGTTCGGTTAAAACTTGCAAGACAACGAAACAGCGCCTAAGGTCAGAAATAAAGGGCTCTCATACTAAGTAGGTGTCACTGTTTAATGCATGCAAATAAACACTATTCATTGTGTACCTTTGCCGAGTGCATGAGTTTGAATCATTGTTTAGTGTAGAAAATAGGTGACGGTATAACTACGTGGAAGAGAAATTCATCAAAACATAATATTGCTGACGATACAACAAAATAACTGTTAGATAAATAGGCTAAGTAGTAGTATTCATATTGTAACTACCTACCACAGCATGTGTAGGTACCTCACGTGTAGACCGTTCTAACAAAGAAAATATACACACATCAAAAGTGTCTGTGAGTCAAGCATGTTTTTGTTTACCGAAAATCAAGTATTTTTAATTTTTTTTTAACACCGATGGTTTATTTTTCTTTAATTACAATTTGAAATGATGAAATGAACCAAAAAATAAAAGCCAATGGTAGGATAAAAAATGATTAAAAAACCGGATTTTCAATAATTAGCAAAAACTTGCTTGTCTCCTAGACACTTTTGATGATGAGTGTATTATTAATGTCATGGTATTAGAAAAGTGTTAAGTGTCGTGAAGGTGATTGAAGGAGACGATGTGTTTGTTGGCTTATATTCGACTTATCCCGACGATTTATGCTACTTGCCAATGCCGTAATTTCCCCGAAGAGCTGCACTCCGGCGCGTCTCACTAGCTGAGACGCTCACTGAATTAGAAAAACTGCACCTTTGCTCTTCAGTGTATTCATTATAATTTGCACGTACAGTGACCTAAAATTTGTGTGACCAAGTATACAAAATGTTGTAATGACGTAACACACGTTGTCTACTTCTCGTATCAGTACTACATCAAATTTGTTTTCATTGAACCACGTCAACAGCGTCTACTGTGACGCCCTTCATACATAGGTCTCCATTCTGACGATCATCTATTTTTTTTACGTAAAGTATTGAAAGCGTCTTCAGTCTCCTGCCCAGTTGCCGAATTCCTCTCGACTTTGTAGCCTGTTTGCATGCTAATGACGTCACGCCTTCCAATAAACTCTACCAACTTCGTTATACGGTGGCACCTAATTGTTATCGTTTCTGCATAAAGTTGGAAGCAGAATCTGCAGAATATGTTTGGATATAGTTTTATAGGTATAGTTTTGCGATGAACCGATACTGTTGGTCCGATTTCGATAGTATAAGAAATAGGTGAAAATTCAATTCAATTCAATTCAATTGTTTAGCCAAGGACACTGACTACAGGTTGGATTCGGTCGTTCTGCGGAGTGATCAATTCAAACTTCGATTTTCTTTATTGCAAAACTTCTAACGCTTTTCATAATTTATCAAGATTGCGTGAACTTGTTCGATTTCAACTTTGTGTTACTGCTTATAATGTCAATGTTATAATGAGTATCTTTTAATAGATTCGAAATTCAAGGAATTATCCCCGCACAAGTGCAATGGAGCGAACGTTAAAGGGGAGGCATTGTTCAGGTTATGATTTTTTACGAACGATTTTTTTCGAATAATATTCAAATAAGTGGAATATAGAGCCTCCCCGTACGACGTACGTATTCCTTTCCTGTAGGCCTGGCACATCCTGGGCAACAATCCGCAAGGACAGTACGCCGGTTGGCAAATCCTTTCACCATGACGGTAACCATTACGTGTAACGATACCATACCAAGAGGTGGAAAGAGGAGAGATTAAATTTAAATGCCAATTCTGCATTGATCGACAAAATTTTACTCCATAATGATACAAGGCTAGTGAATATCGGTAAAAAGAAAGGAACCAAAAGCTTCGCTTGGACAGTGAACGGCTCCTACGTCCGCTCGGGCCGCGATAGTCCCTCACGCTCACGTCCACCTTCGGCAGAAATATTACTTAACAGAAACGCAAAACTTTGTCGTGCGTACGTGTGCAAATGCAATCCTCAAAATAAACAGCGGATACGAGGCGAGAGGCAACGCTGCTGTTTACTTTTAATTAAATCAGTTGTATTTGAGAACGCTGAATACGCTGTACTCAAATAATACATACAATGTAGTGGAGCTGGAATAGTTGGAGGAAACAATTTGGAATTACATTCCATCGCGGGGAAGTCGAGGCGAGCCGACCCAGCGGGGCTGGAGGGATCGCTTGCTATTGCATCGAACTATCCGATGGCGCATTCCGCGTGGATTCATTCGCTCGCATTCCTATCTGAACAGTCATCCCCTTGGTTAGGAACGTTTGTATTTCTGCATTAATTGGGAAAGTGAGGATCACCTGTAGCGAGTAATGGGAAATATGCGTAATAAAATGTCAAATACCTGTCTAATGATCATCTTACAGATTTTTGTACTTTTATTGTCAATACTAAATTGGGAGAACATTTTTATTTATTTTGTTTTACACTAATCATCATTAGTATTTATAGGTATTCTGAAGTTTCCATTATGAAAATGATTACTTTGATAAGGCGTTGGCGCTGGGAAATGACCAAATCGCGAAATCGTTGCTCATTGCAATTTGCAACATATTCGTGTGAGCACAGAATGAGTTCGTAGTCAGTGTTGTTATAGATTGTACCGCGGCGGAATTTAGCTTGAGTGTAACGAGCGCAGAAGCATGAGGTACAATGGCAATGTTACTGTTTAATTATTCTCCCACGTGCGACTCGCCCCCACTTCCTCTAACTTTGGCGTTTTGGTCACTTTATAGCTTGCGCGCTGTCCACATACTGTTTGGTTATGCATATTAATAGGTATACAGGAACTGCAATTGTACGATTCAATTATGTGTTTATGAAATTGTGCTCAGTATAGTTTCATTATTTCACTAGTGCTCTGAATTGCACTTCGTATTGAGTTACATTTTTGGTAATTCCCAGTAAAGTCGCGCTCATGTGAATATTGTTCTTGGCAAAAACAAACCAAGTGACCGTTGTAAAATAGGATTCTCCAGCGAGTTTGGAGTTTTTTCTAAAATGAATTCCGACAAAT